TTCTTTTATGACCTTTATCATTGCAGTATTTGAATACTTTCTGATAGTAAAGTAAGAGACTGCAAACATTTTTCTCATGTTTCCCCTTACAGAATAGGGTAGGTATTGTGACCTCTTGTTTCAGGTTTTAATTTTTTTTTCTACCATGAACATTGCTGTGTGGTGTTTGGTTTGATTTGTTTTTTTCCCCTCTAGCCTGAGAGAAGAGCAAGGATATACTTGGATTTTCCATTCTTCCCTTAACACTTGTAGCTGAAAAAATATTAAATAGCCTATAAGAAGGTGGTTCAGAAAGCTGATTGTAATAGACAGTCCATTAGACCTATATCATGGAAAGCTTGCAAAGTAAAATAAAACATTGCTGAGCCTTTGTACCTAAACCTAATACAGGTAGTCTTTCAAGTCTTATCTTCAGGACTGCTCTAATTGATTTGAAGGCCCTCAGGCCAGATTGAGTTAAAGGTAGTGGGAATTAAGTGCTTGGGTATCTTATCGAAATTTTTTTTCAATTTGGTATAGAGAAACTTCTACACATTTTTTTTTTTCAAAAATACTGGGAGAGAAAGCCTGTTTCCTCTGGAAGAGCTGAGGGAGCCCTTAGTTGAGTGCTTTCCCAGTTCTGAGGTGATTGGTTGCACAGTAGTTCACAAATCCACTTAGCTATGTCTTGTCTAGGAAAGAGATCTCTGCTTGACCACTGAGGCATGTAGTAAAAGCATCGGTGTTAGGCTCAACTGATCCTCTTGGTGCCCAAGTATGACTATTGACGCTGAGTTCCAGAACTGGTCATTATTTAGACCAACAGTCTTATTAGTATAGCTACCTCAAACGTTTGGAACACTAAATGCCAGCTACTCCTTAATAATTTATGAAGTTCAGTTTAAAGTGTATATGAAAGCCTAAAGTATTTTATAATTATGGTTTTCACTATAATTAATAAGAAATAAAGATGTCAAAAATAAGGTTATGGTAACATCTAGATAATTGCTAAAGTATTGTAATTTGTCTAATTAAGTTCATAGTCCTTAGTAATGGATCCATTTGCTTTTTACAAAATGTCGTATGTGGATCGCAGGGAAGAATGAAGTAGTCAATATAGGAAGCATGGTTGCTTAACGTTATGGTTGCTTCATCAGAAGACTTGCTGGCAACCTTCAGTCAGAGGCTTTATTCTACATTTGAGACTCATCCTGTATTTTTTCATTTTCTATTTTTACTGTTACTAAAGCAAAAAGACTCTTGCAGAAATACTGACTATTGTAGTGCATTGTGGAATTCAAAGTTTTATCAATCTAGTTCTGTTCTTTTCTAGTCAAAAATTGATGAGCTATTATTTATGTCAGATATGTCTTTCACATCACTAGTCTTTACATCCTTCCTTTTTCTTTACTGCAAAGCCATTTGGCAGAGAGTAGTCTTCTATTGAAAATATATCTGTGATCCAGTTTTTGATTGTTAGTGGTGGGAAAGGGGTTTTTTTTGTTAATTCTGGTGACTCAAATTCAGCCAGAGTACTTTTATGTTAGCTTTGAGCTCAAAGTAAATTTTCACTTAATTTCAAGCAAGGATTTTTCTTAAGGTTTGCAAGTGATGGCAGTTTTTTTCTTCTTCCTGTGCTATAAGCTACAGTTTACTGTGTCTTCTTTTTTTTTTTTTTTTGGCCAAGAATATTTAGAAAGCATAGCTTTCAGTCACTGCAAACCAGTATCTAGTTCATTGAGATATATGAACAAGTTAAGTAAGCTGCTCTTAACAGCCATAACTCAGGCTCAGAACAATCAGTGTTTAAAACTAAAATCACTGTGGAAAACTTGCACTTCAGAACAGGGCTCAAGGAGAGCTTGAGCTTGCCTCCGATGTGAATGAGTCCTTGGTTGCTTCTGACTTAATGGCACACAAATTAAAGTCACTATGAGTTCAATGCTTCTGCTTTAGTAGAACTGATCACTGTTATGGCCAAATCCAGAATTATTATCAGATAGGCATTTATTTAGTGTTTTACAGTGGATGCTGTGTGAAACAACTTTATTTTTTGTTACTGTCTCCAATTTTGATTCAGTGTTTGCATCCTAGCAGACAACAGGCTGCTGCAGTTTAATCACTTTGTCTGCTTTTTTCATACTATAGATGGTGCTTTCAAAAGTTCTGGTACAATTAATCTTTAGCTATAATTTCTGATTCAGATCTTACTACTGTCATCAAAATTAGGCTGCTGTTGCTTTACTTTGCATTGTCTCTGTGCTTTCCTTTAGTCAATATGAGGAATTCTGAAGTCTTTATAGGATATTTCTTCTGATATTTTCAGAGGGGTATAAATGTTTCCTTCTGTCTACAGTCCATAGCTTTTCTTTTTCTTAAATCAAGCTCCTCTTCTTTCACAATTAAGAGTAATTGCAAATAGGCAGCCAGTATCAAACCTTCTAAAACTCCTGCAGTATTTGCTAGTGTAGGAAGAATGTTACCAGTAGCTCCTGAAACCTCTTGGGCTGCCTTCTGCATGTTTTAGCCATGGTGGTTTTTTTGTTTGTTTGTTGGGGTTTTTTTCTTTTTTCTCTGTATATATAAATTGTGTTGGAGAAATTTTCTGTAGGAGGGCAGAGAGATTGAATTTAGAGAGCAGGGAAGGTGTCAACTCAAGGTGTGGGTGAAAGACTTGCCACTCAGTTTAGACAGCTTTGACTCCAGGAAATTTTTTTGTTCCTTAGCAGCTCTAGGCACATCAGATATTGCTCTTTATGTTGCACTGGATGTGTCTTAATCCCAAAATTTTCTAGGTGCAAAGATTGAGACTAGTCAGATACCCTTCTGTGTAAGATTTACCTGTGTTTTCCTAGTCTTACAGTTGCATAATCTATCTGCTGCATAAACTAATCTATTTTCACCCACGCCATACACACATCAGCCTTAGGGAACTCACCATGCATCCACGGTTTCTGAGCCCCTGCTAGTTTGCTCTATACAGTAAGTAGCACAGATGAGTGGCTTTTTTGGATGTATCCCCTTAGCAATAGAGTGTTTCTGGTGGCAGTAGATTCTCCAATTATTTTGAACTTGCCCGTTAACATGTGGTCGACAGGAGGGACCCTAGCAACAAGGAACGGACCTTTACAGACTTGCCTTGGTAGCTTGAGCTGTGCAGCTTGATAGATGCTGAAGGCTACCCCCAGCAGAATGCTAGCCAGCCAGCTGTGTGCCAGATGACAGCACAGCACCCAACTGCACACAGCCATCTCACATGAGACACTATTAAATACCATGCTACTGCCACTTTCTTTAGCTGAAAGTGTCTGGGAGATGTGTTAGGTGCTGGTGTGTTTTTTTGAGCAGTCCGGTGCTCATGACAACTGTCTGAAGGTAAAAAGACATTTGGAGGGAGGAAAGGGGTTTAAATAGGCTGGTTCCCAGCAAATATGGAAGGATTTTTCATAGTAATGCTTTCCATATTCGAATCTTACACTTAGGAAGTGATGCAAGCATCGCTCCATAGGATAACCCAAATATGATTACAAAGTAATTCTGAGGATGTTATGATAAAGTGCAGTTCAATGTATGACATTTCCTTGAAAAATGTGCTTTGTTTCCTTAACAATATAATATTCTGGCTATCTAAATGTATTCGCTGTGTCAAATCATTCTCAGTCATACCTCAGAAAAAACTGCCTATGATTTCAAAGGGAGTTTTGCCTAAGGTAGGGCTTGCAACATCAGGACCAGGAATTAGTGTAATGTGACCCACCATTTGTATTGCTTTGGGGTAAATTTAAGAGAGAAGATTTAACATTCTGTGTGTCATGCTGAGATATTGCAATATCTCGGATGGGTTATTAGGCACCAGTCCAAAGGTTAAGTGTAGCAACCACATGAGATGTGGCTTTATCCTTACATGATCTGTGCCCGTGTTCTGTTTTGTAGTCCCCTGAAATAGGTATTATCCCTAGAATAAAACACATTTATAAGACTTTATTGAAACCTATCCCAAGCTGTTAAATGTAGTTTCAGTAGAAAAGCGTGTGCATATATGTCATTTGCAATCTAGAAATCAATCCTGGTATGTGTGAACTCACTGAAATTTTGAATCTGGATCCTAGTGTGCACCAGATAAATATTCACGACCTTTGGGAAAGTCTAGATACAAATTTGCAGTTTAGGACCTTTTCTAATTTATATGCATATATCTTTTTGGGGTTTTATTTTCCATGCTGTTATTGCTTGGCTTGCTTTAAATAAAATGCTTCAATGGAGTGTGGTAGTCTAGCATTTGTTTTGCCTCAGGAGTAGATTGCCCCATCTTGCATATCTGGTCAAGTAAATTGCTCTCTTGCCTGCTTACTTCGATAATATGACTGGGCTTTAGACCTTCTTATACAACCCCCCAGTGAGAAGAACCACAAGGGGCTGGGCTTGTGTGGTGCTAACAGTTTTCACTATTGTAATGGATGCATTCATCTCCTATTTACATAAATTAATAGTTAAAACTTGTTTGGTTGCTTAAGAAAACTCATTAAGCTTTCAGAGTAGCTGTATTATGAGCATTGTGGCAATCGCTCCCATTGACTTATCTCCTGCTGGTTCACTGGGAACCAGTCCATCTCAGGGTCAGGTCCCTAAGCTTCATTGCAGAATTAAATAAATAGCATTTAAAAGAAAAGACAAATAATCTGTTCAATGCAAAATGCATGTTGGGGAACTTCCTTATGAAAAAGAAGTCATGTTTAAAATTTTTAAAAATATAATAATTTTTTTGTCTGAAAGGCTAATTTTCGCCCAGGAAATAGATCACATTTTTTATCTGTTTTCTACTAGTCACTGGAGAATGTTTGACATTGTAAGAGAAAGGTCAGTTTGTATAACTTGAAGTGGGAGGGGAATGTGAAAAGCATGGCCAGATATTTTTTGTTATTGTTGTTATTAATTGAATATTCTGCTTTGCCTTAATTTATCAACTGCAGTATGTGGTTTTTATTTTTCTTTATTTCCTATTTGGTTGGGTTTTTTTACAGATTGGAGAAAGAGAGCATTCAGCACAGCATTAGCAACGAAGCAAAGGCCCGAGCCCTTCAGGCCCAGCAAAGAGAGCAGGAGCTGACACAGAAGATGCAGCAAATGGAGGCCCAGCATGAGAAAACTGGTAGGTGGTAGGGAAAGATTAGAGCCTGGGCACTCACTCACAAGCCAGGCCCACGCCTTACTGTGAAATGACATCAGGAACACCTGTAACCTTTGGCTGGCCGAAGGGAGCAGATGCTAACTACACCGGAGATTCCGAATTACATATTAGTTAGCGTTTAAAAGAGAAAATGGAAAGTATTGCCCACTGTCTGTTGATTTCAGAGTGCTGCTCTCACATCTGTTGCACCATCTGGATTATGAGTTTATTTACCTGTGTTCAAGAAACGTAAAGCTGAGAGAGACCACAACAAAGTAGAAAAACAAAGGGCTTGTTTTTGGCTGGATTTTCAGGCACACATGTTATATAAAGAAAATAGCATCAGAAGCTCTGCGGGAAATGCTCTGAGCTTACAGTTAAAGTCTCCTGAATAGCATTGAACAGTTCCCACAGTACACACATTATAGCTACTCTAAAAGCTTAATGAGTTTGCTTCGGCATCCAAACTGGAGAAAAGCTTTAGCCATTAATCGGTTCTTAATTCACTGTCACAGCTGGATGTAATTCACTGGCTCCAAATTGATATGTTCCTTTATTTAATCTTTGCAGCCTCAAACATTTTTAGTATTACCATGTGCCCCCCCACACACACACACCCTCAATCTACAAGAAAGATGTTTAATCCCTTGCATACTTCAGGTTCTCCTAATAGGAAACTTCACTGCATTGACTTAGCTGGTCACTAACTTCTAACCTTTAATCTGGAAGTAAAATGGGTTTTTCAAACAAACAAAAAAAGCCTTTTGTTATTGTGAAGTACTATGCCAACAACATTAATAAAGGTGAATATGAGAAACAAAAGAAAGAAATTTTTAGAGAGGAAAATCTCTAACCCCTGAGCATGAAAGGAGAAGGAGCTTCAGCTCTTATGGAACATGGTATATTCGTATGCTTAGTAGAATACCATTTTCACCCACCAGTCCTGCAATACCTTTAGAAAAATAACATAGCATGTATTAATCCGAAGCAGTGTCACATAACACCTGAGGCAGCAGGCACATTGACATCTGCTATCTGATTTTCTGCTTTTTTTTCAGCATTATCACAGTACTAGAGGACCATTCCATGTGTTCAGGGAATGCAAACAGCTACATTATGGCTGCTGTCTACACAGTAGGAAAAGAAAAGAAGCTCTCAGAATGGCTTTTCCCTACTCTAGCCAGCACATCTGCATATGACCAAGTGTAATTTTGCACAAAAGATGTGTCATTTACCCTGAAAAACATTACAGCTGAGCTTGTTTTTATATATCTCTAGTAGGTTTAGAAGGAGTTGAAAGTGATAGTAATTTATTATGTACATAAAGAAACACTTGTGTATTATGACCCTACACACATACAAGGAATTTGGGTAACAGTTGTCTCTCTTGCTCTGATTTTAAAAGTAGAAATCAAGAAACATCATTTTGCAGTATCTTCCTTTTGAAAGAATAAAAATGCTTGATTTCTAGGTCGCGAGTTTTGGTGCAGCTGAAACTGATAGTACCTGAAAATTAATTTATAAAATGGTTTCATTGTAACTGTCACTGAACGATGTCTATATCTTATCACGAAATAGAATAAAATAACATTAATCATAGTAAGTGCAGGACCCAGTAAATAAAAGAACTCCTTTTTAAGGAGAGAATGAAATGAGATTACAGTGCGAGTGTTTGGGTTGCCAGTGTATCCTCTGCACCAGTTGAGCAAGCAAAAGGCTGCTAAGAGATGGCTTGCCAATTTTATTCCTCCCAGAAATGTCAATGAACTTCCAGCTAAAATGCAAACCCACCAGATTAGATACATAGTACGCATGGTGATTATTCTCATACAAGACCTGATTCAGTGGCAATATCACTTTAGGTTAGCTTATTCTGACATAGGGCCTTTATTTGGTGAATGATTATGTCATAATTCCATGCCCAAGTAGCTACAGTCTAAAAAACATATAGAAACCAGAAGGATCTAGAGGAAAAATATTAAGCATTTATAAAAATGTTTCTAAATTAGCTATAAATTTATATATTTGTAAAATAAATTTCTAGTTTTTATAATTTTATAATTTCTAGTAAATGAACTGGATTCATTGCTGACCTCCCAGAATACATTCATATCAAAATTAAAGGAAGAATGTTGTGTGTTGGCAAGGAAGTTGGAACAAATGTCAGAAAAATACAGGTTAGTATATTTTTGTTATCCTGTCCCTTTTATTAGGACATGTTTCCTTATTTTTTATTTGTATTTTAATATTTATTATTATTCATCTTGTCCCAGGTATTACACATCATCTAAATATAATATATGCCACTTAAGAAACATGGATGGATTTTTATCCAGGATAATTCTGATTTTCTGTTTTTCAGATTATGTTTCTGGCTATTACTTCAAAATTCTTAAACAATTGCACTGTAAAAATTGCATGGTATTTTCCTTATGATGTTCATATTCTTAATATGAAGAGTGGAAAATTGTTAACAGAGCTACAATTATCTGAAATCATGTGAAAAATGCTAAATATTTAAAGTTCTCAAAAATGTAATATATTTGTTTAATTATTTACTCCATTCACAATACTATACACTGAATAATTATCTCTGAAATAATTGTTATCAAAATTGCTTGTCATTGAAGCTTTAATTCTGCCACTGCTTGTTGTGTGGTGCTTTTGTTAAAATCAATAGCAGATCTAAATACAAAGCCATTAAAAATTCAGGAAAAGAACAAAACCTGGAAGCAATAAATTATTTAAATAGATAAAAGTGTATGGAGGTATCCATTTAAAAGTTCTGTATGACAGGACTATCTTTTTTTTTTTTTTAATTAATAAAAATTGTAATTCTATACCAGTATTTTGCTTTTACATTTTTAAGTATATAAAAATAGTCTCTGTTGAAACTTTCTTTAGGGTTCATATTTAGAGTAGTAAATGGGACTTTAAATGGTGAGTTGACTTTCTGCAACTTCTGTAAATTTCATGCAAAGTGAATTTGGTAATTAAGGGTAGGATTCATCTCACATGGCTTATGTGAAGTAAGGAAAACAATCAGCAAAGATAAAATTGGTTTTCGAGATAGGATTCTTCTTCTGCTGGGCATATTTAGTTATCCTGTTGAGGTAACCTTACAGGGGCAACACTCACTCAGGGAGAGAGCTCATTTATCCCAGTATCCTGTTTCCAGGAATGGTCAACGTGGAATGATATAGAAGTAGATGACAGACACACACAGACACACACAGACACACAGACACACAGACACAGACACACACACACACAGACACAGACACACACACAGACACACACAGACACACACACACACACACACACACACACACACACACACACACACACACACACACACACACACACACACACACACACACACACACACACACACACACACACACACACTGTCCATCCTACTTTCCACTGAATATAAAGTGTTGACTATCTGTTAAGTGGCTGAAGTTGAGGGATGAATCCCATCCAGAGTGTTTGGGGAAGAAAGAAACTTGAGGAAATGTAAGCAATCTTCCCTTGCAAATGTTGTGATGAGTGCTTGAGAGAGCAGACAGAATTTTCCTTTTGAAAAAGCAGAGCTCCTCTACTAAAGTAATACAAAATCTAAATAGATTCAAATCATATTATTATTCCAGCAATAAAAATGCACACAGACTTTGTTGCTAGAGCTCACAGTCACAGACTAGTAACTGTAAAAGGATGAAGGAAAGACAGAAAACATACTGTGAAAACACATTATTCTCTGAAAATAAATACCAGAGATTGCCAAGTGTTTCTCCACCTAGCAGCATTAGCTGACTATGTCAAGAACCTGAAAAAGGGAAGAGGAGCCCTCTTGGATCTCCAAAAAGTGGTATATTTTGCACAAGAAACAGTATGGAAGAATGTTTGAAAGCAGTTCTGAGAAGTGGCCCTAAAATAGCTTGAGCCTGCCTTCATTGGAGTGGGAGCTGCTGCAGTCAGTAACAAAAATGGAGAAATAGGTAGGGACAAAGAAAGCATGTGAAAATGAGAACAGAAAGATAGAACTGGAGATGGTGGAAAACAGTAAACTAAGAGATGGCTTCAAAAAGTGATGTGATCAGGAGATCAGATGCAGAAAATTACTTCAGCGAAGTTTTAAATGCATAATCAGTATGTAACTTTCACTAGCATCTCTCTGAAATGCAATATTCATGCTCATTGTCACTGGATGTAGTGTAAAACTACAATTCTGGGACAGAATGCTGTATCTTTGTCTTCTGAAAAAAAGTAATAATTTTTGGAAGATTTTATAACTCAGTTCTCAGGTACATGAATAGAAGCAGATCATAAAGCATCAGTGTCCCCTGTTTGCACAAATAAGATTTTTTTCCATGTTTTTTTCATGGTTTTGGCCTCACAAATTTTGGACCTGGATGTGTATTTTCTTGCTATAGTTCTAGAATCTTTGTGCCTTAGTTTCCATGGGATTAAGAAATAACTTATACTAGCAATACCATTATTTAATTGGTAAAACACTCAAGCTTTTTTAATAACAGATGCAAGAGAAAGTTTATATATAATTTGTGGGTTTTGATAGGAAGGAAAGGGCCTGTTTGTAATAAGAGGCATTTCAAATTTATCTGAGACAACTGCATATTTGCAGAATTTCAGTGGGACACATCTGAATTGTACATATATTTTTGTATTTAATACAGGTTTTCTGAGAAAATTGAAGTTTACTTGTTTATATGTAAACTGGAACCATTTTTGTGAGCTAGCCCCTCCACAGGATTAGAAAAGCTTCAGAAAGACAATGTCAGACAAATAATAAACCCCTCAAGCTGTGCAGAAAGAAGATAGTGTCTGTGAAGGTTTTTGTATGCATAGGCATGTTTAAAAGCATAGTCCTTTGTTGATTTCTTCTCTGTTATTTTGTTAGGGGGTTTTTCTCTGATTGTCACTGTCTGAGTTTCTAGGTTGTAGATTAATGCTTAACACTACCCACTGTGTATTTGTGATTTGCGTTTTGTAATTAAGGGGAACAATGGGAGTCCATTGGGTCTCGTTATATATAATGGTTGGTTTAATTTGTTTCACTTCTATCTTGTTAATTGTAAATTGATCATTAAGATTTGAATTCTAATCTGTCACCAGGGTTGTGAGTATTGAAGCTAGAGCAATGATCCTGGTTTTAATCACTGATGATGAGAAACAAATTTTATAATTTTGGTACATATTGCAGTTCATATATTTTAACACTGTATTTTATGATGTTATAAATATTGTTAAATGACTTTTAGTGTAGTTTTACTGTTCGGACTATAATGTATAAATTATATTACTGGTTTGGCAACAGTAGGCATCCAACTGTGTGAGTTTAATTGAAGTAAAGAACACACACCCGGCTGAACTATTTTTCTGCATGTTTGGTTGACTGCAGTCATTGCGCTCAATACCAGGAATGAAATGTTTGTTGAAGGTAGCCGTACAAAGATGTGAAACAGTCTGTCATTAAAATTATATGCAACAATACTGTGTCAGCAGAAAATATTTTAGAGCATGTATTTAATTTCTGTACAAGTAAACAGTTGGTTTTTAAGTTAGAAAAAGACAATGCTTTAAGAGCACTGCAATGTTCAGAGGAGTAAAGGCAGCTTTGCCACCTCAGTGTTCAAAAATCGCCTCATTGTAAAAATATCCTAAGACTGACTTCGAATTGTGACTATTTAACATTTGCTGGTTCCTTGCCTCCACTATTTGAATGTTTTGGAGGAACCTGTGTTGTTTTTTCCAAGAGTCTTCCAGCAAGGATGGTAGATAAAAAAATTGTTTTTAAATAGAAGTTGATGATTTCTTGGTAGTTGAAAGAATCCAGAAGTATAGAGAGGTTTGTTGTTGTTGTCCTTGTCCTCCCCACCCCATGATCATCAATTATTTTTAATGTAGTGACAGGTAAATGAGATTTGGCAAAATCTATTACCCATCTACTTACAAGTATTCATTTTACATTTACATTTTCATGTCACCTTGTAGTTTTGCTCTGTGCAGCTTTGAAATAATACTGATTTCATATATGTCTTTTGAGTGTATCAGATCTCAGAAGCACACACAGATACATTAACATGGCTGTATGACTTGTGGGGCCAGCCTGAGTCTGCAGAAGTGCAACTCCATGCAGAGTTAGAGTCAGATGGCAGCACTCCAGATGTCTGCACGCTCCAGTTTCTTCTAAGTCCGCCACAGCTTACTGCTCGGTCTGTTGGACCCAGAGTAGCTCTTGTGGAGCAACATCAGCATGTCCGTGTGGTGTCCTTTAGTTCTTCTGCATGCATCAGATCCAGTAGTGCTTAGTGCATAGATTTTTCTAATTTACCTCTATCCCTGGCATTGTGTGCAGGCTATCTCTGAAGTTCAGGACTATGTACTTTGACACCTGCCTCCCTCTCTCTCCCATCCCTGCTGTGTCAACTTGGGAGCAGAGTGATTCAGAAGAATTTATACAGATCCAGTTCTGCTCCTGGCTGGGTGGAATTGCTGCTCCTAGTATAAATGGACTACTATGTCCAGTACAGTTGTTCAGGCTTATTACAATTATGGTTGATTTTGTGGATTTTTTTAACCCAACAATTTTGAAGTTATTTAAATATCCCATAGAATTAACTATCTTCATCTTTGGCAACTGAGGTGCATGAGTGGTATATTTAAAGATGCAGAGGGAATCTTTGTCAGGTGATAAAGAAGACTCTTGGTGTGCAGTCTTGTAGTGGGACTAGTGTTCTCTCTTGAATGCCAACATACATTAACCTTTTAACACTGACCTTAATAGGCATTCTGCCCTTCATATGTGCTGTCCTCCAAAATTTCAGTGTAATTAAATACTTGAATCTGAGTGGTCAGACTCTTAGATATTTACTCGGAAGGGACATGATGTAAATAATGTGTTAACTGGAGTGATTTTGTTTTGCTGAGTTCAACTGTAATTACAAAAGGTGTTTTAGCAGAACACAAGTAACATGGTTCAAAGCATCAAACATGTTTGAGAGATGAGCGATCATGCTATTTATGTTTTCAATTAATTCAGTACTTTTGTTTTGGTAATTGTAATTTTGAGTAGCATTTTTGTTTTGATTGATTTGAATCCCTTGATCTTTTCAGAAAGAATTTGGGAAACTTCAAATGTGCTGGAGATTAATAAGTTCTTTTAAAACTTTGACTTTTATCACCTTGCAAGTTGCTTCTGCTGTTTCCATGAATGAGACAGCCACACATAAATACAGAAAAAGGAGCTAGATCTCCCAGTTGGGAGACCCTACAAACATGATAATTTACAGCATTCCCACATGGCAAATGCTGTTGTTGGATTTTGCTGGCAAAAAAGGAATTCAGTCTTGAGTTTAGTCCCTGTTACTACTTGGTTGGGCTTTGTTATGTCAGGTCTCTGTTGAGCAGCTCTGCAGTGGACCTTTGCTTTTATCCACTGATTGTCTTTCTTACAGTATCAGTATCAAGTACAGATTGCATTCATACCGTGTGGTGACAGTTGGTCCAACTGACAATGCTTTGTTAATGCTGACATTGAAGTTAACCAGTATTTCTGTTAAACGATCAGTGTAAAAATTTGGCTTTGGTTACCTTCCTATAACATACTGCCCACTGTTTCATACCTGCCCAGGAAACTTCTGTGCATTTAAGTTTTATGTGCAAATACATCAGGATGATTCTGATGTATTTGTCAGTGATGTTCCTTAATTGAGCTGTAACTCCTTGTCTAAATTCAATTACAGTCTTCTTCCAAAGTTTCCCTTGCTAAGTTCTTTTAGATTCACAGATGATATCATGTATTGTTCTCTATTTAAACATGAAAAGATTATGTTGTCATTTCCAGATTTGACTTGTCAGTGTAACAACATGTTTTAGAGGGAGGAGTATTCCTTCCCCCCTGCACTTTGTTGTATTTTTCAGAATGTCAGTTGTTGTTGCATTCTGTAACAGCCAGGAAGGTAAAGTATCTTTCTGCTGTAACTGCAGCATATTTAAGTTTATGATTTAAAGATATATCTGAAGCTTTTTAACCTCAAGATCTGGAGTGGCAGATGCCATAAAACAAATTTGCTTGCTTTTGATTCTTACTTTCTGATGGTATAGCAGATTCTGACATGTTCTCATTAACCTTTTCCAAAGAGTTAAACTGTACAAGTGCATAATGTATATTTTATCACAATTTAATCTGAGATCTTTTCCTGATATTAAGAAACAGCTCATGCCTGTTTCTCCATGGGCTGATGGTTAGAGATGTAGCAAGTAGCAGTCCCAGGTCATTCATGGATCTGCTGTCTCTGCTCACCCGTGAAGAATAAGAATTGCTAGAAGTGACTAATTTTCTTAAAGGATGTGCTGAGCTTTATGTAGATGTGGGTGTGCCTGTATGATTTGTCCCTTGTTTCTTAAGGTTTTATTCATTTTTTTCTTAATGTGTTTTGGGGTTTTTTAATGCGTGTAATGGAATTTTGGGCATATTAGGTAACTAAAGTTTCCAAAACAGTACCACTATTCAAAGTTCAACCTGTACAGTGCAGTAAATGTTGAACAAGTTTTTAGTAGCCATTTTTTAAACTAAATGTTAGCTTTTACTAATAAAGAACTTGAAATGTGTTTTCAAAATGCTGGCCAAATTCTTGCTTAACAAGTATGAATTTACATTTATTGATCTTATTTAACATCAGCGCATAATGCCAAATGACAAGCCTGTTTAAATTAGGCTGAAATTAGCATAGCCAACCTATGACTGAGTGATTACCATTGGCATATTTACCAGATACCCTTCAGCATCATGTTCTTTTGTCTTAAGATTATTTGAAACAGTGTTTTGTTTCTGTAAGTTCTAGTAATAGCCTGTTTATGCATTACATATACATGTATGAAATTTTATAAATGCTGAAGCCACATATTGATGGCACACTGCAGGATGAAATCTGACAACATCCATCATCACTGTGTTTTACTTCTGTAGATCTGAAGTCAACCAGCTTAGTCAGGAAAAAGAGTATCTTCATGGCAGATTGGAGAAGATGCAGAAACGGAATGATGAATTGGACCAACAATGTATCCAGCATGGGAGAATGCATGAGAGGATGAAGTCGAGGTAGGAGGTCCTGTTAATCTGTCAGTATGTGGTATGCTCTACTGTACCTGTTGTGTTTTGTAAACATAAAAATGACATTAGGTTGTTTGAAAGTAATATTCTTTCCTTTTGAAAATGACCACCCCTTCCCCCTCCTCAGGCATTCTGTCAAGTTTTTTTTTGTAACATCTTTTGCTTGTGCCATTTTGGATAAATAAAAGGAAAGCTTGAACAACATAGTCTTCCAAAGAATTTAAGCCTAGTACATATGTGTGTGGGTTGCTTTGGCTGTTCTCTGCTCTAACTTGGATGAATTGTCTAAAAAAAAAAAAAAAAAAAAAGGCAGGGGGGAAGGAGAGAGGAGGTTATTCAGTAATATGAATGTAGAGTACAGATGTGGATTCCATTATGCCATGTAATAGGTGTATTTTTTGGGTTTACCATCTTACCTTTCTTAGTAATATTTAACTTGTATAAACAGACAAATCTTACTGAAGATCTTAGTAACCAGTGAACTAGTAACAGCTTCCAGGCACCACTAGCCTTTTCAGAGAAGCAGCGACTTCCTCAGGAAGAGCTGGGAGCAGCTACAGCAAGACTAGTATGTAATATTTTCACCAATACCAATTGACTGTTCTGGCCAGAGTGTCCAGGCTGGTAACACCTTGTGCTACGATTTGGATTAGATGTCCTTAAACATCACTGTGGAGACTTTTCTTTTTGCTACCAGAAAGTTCATCTATGCTCTTTTGTTCTGTTTTCCACTCCGCATTCACTGGAAAGATTTTAGGCACGGTTGTGGAGGTAGACACTAAAGTAGGGAGATGACTGAGAGGCAGCTCTGCAGATCCAATCAGCCAGGCTACCTGTCAGTAGTGAAAGACAAAATGCAGTTTTTCTTCAGTTGAAGTAGATAGTCCTGGCTGGGAAAATTTCTGTTTCTCTTTTTTGACCACTGACCACCTGATAGGAACAGAGCTTGCGTGTATTGAAGCATGCTCAGACATTGAAGCATGTTTCATATGCTCTTTTTTTTTAAATCACTGATTTGTAATTTTTTGCTACCATTCTCTGTCCATATCAGCTTGTTTTTTTGCAAGCTCTGTGCATTTTTTTCAGTTGTCCAAACCCTCTTTTTTCCTCTCCTTTTCAGATTTCTGTCTGTACCTCATCCTGTTCTTATGTAACCAGGATTGTCATCATCTGTTATAACTCTGAGAACAAAGAAATTAAAAAAGTGACAACTATGTCCGTAGTCTATGTGACCACATAATCTTTCCATTTATCTCACCTGCCTTTTGGTTTCTTTATTTGTGGAGGATTCTTTGTATATGGGGGACTTGCACTGAGGACTGAGGGTTACTTTCAGAGGAAAAAAAAAAAATATATATACATATATATTTTTTTATATATATATATATATATACACACTTTTTTTTTTTACCTCCTAGCTGTTCTTTTGTAGAATTATTAGTATCTAGTTGAATTTAAGACTGCTTTGTAAGTTTTTAGGACAACCTTTCCTCTGTCAGAACCAAATAAAATAGATCTAGTGGAAAATGTTGCTCATTCTCTGCTGCAGCAGCAACAATTATACACTAGAAAAGATTGAAAGCATTAATCCAGAACAGAAAAGTGGTTTGAAAGCAGAGTGGTCATGCTGCAGGCAGTGCCTTACCTTCTGCTGCTGTTTTGCTGACAGCAAGGAGAGAAAACAGGACAGTGATAGCATTTGTTTTATTTAATATTTTAGAATATGTAAATATGGCAGAGATTATTAGCTATTTGAGTCATTAACAGTATACTTTACCAGCATTTTAAGAGGGGACTCTTTTAACATGTTATTAATGATGATCCTGCACTATATTAATTTAAAATCCAGGTAATAAGTGACAAGGATAATATAATAAACTGCTTTAAAAATTCAGTGTAATCTAATTCTGGTTTCCACGTGAAAACTGTAATAGATTTTCAGTATCAGTTCCCACATGTTATAAATTGTCTATGAAGTATTCAGATCTAGGTGAAGAACAGCAGAAAGTATAATTATTACAGCAAATAAATTGCCCAGTTCCTCTTATTTATGTTGAAGGGCTTACACCAAATAAAAATCATGGGGTTTCTTTTCTGATTTTGAAAATGGAGATCTGACTATGCGGTTTAGTAAAGGCAGAAGAACAAACATCATAATAATAATAATAATAATGTGATTTGCCTTAGATTTTCATCCGTCACTTAGATACTAATAATCACAGCAAAATAATGTTAAGGATGATTCCTTCTTAACACAATATGTTTCCTCTTTGTATGCAGCTATAAATAGCATTGGTCTTTTTGCAACACAATCTTGCAAACTGGGTTCCTACCTCATTTTCTAGCTGTCATTATTCTGGCTCTCTTCAGAAAGTTTCTTGTATCAAAATGACTTTGCCTTAACTTGAAACCTAACATTTGCATTTGAATAATAAGTAGTTGTGGTATTTGTTTAAGAAGAAATCTCTGTCACTACTTGTGTTGTCCTAGAAGAGTATGACAGACTCTGATACAAATATTTTGTGGAAGGAGCAAGATCTAACTGATCAGTTGGAATCTCTTTTGGAGCAACAATGTTTGAGCAACTGGGATAGTTGCTTTCCTGAAAGTGAACAAGATCACTCTGCCATTCCTATCTTTCTGTCTGAATATGCGCTGCAAATTAATATAGTCCAAAATGATATAAGCAGATCTTAAAGAGATTACTTTAAATTGTGGTCATTAAAGATTATTTTTAATCAACCTTTTGAATGTAACGCAAATATTCATCCCTTTCAGCGTGTTTTTGCTTAGTGAAATATGGCATTAAAAGAAGTAGATGTTCATCTTAAATGATGCAGCTGACACATGCTGTTGGGGCAAACTTGAACTGAAAGATGTGCAGTTTGCAGGACTAGGGTGACATGTTAAGACTACAGTGGAGTTTATGAATAGGTGTTCATTTAATGTTGTTAATCTAGCAACACTGTGAATCTTTGCTTTAGATACATGTATGGGGATTTTTTACATTAGTTTGTTATTGTTTGGTATTTTTTGCAGCTATGTACTTTCCATTTTAGATACTGATTTGTTTAGCTAAATAGATTATCTCAAAAGTATTAGTTAACATGACATAGGGTCACAGATGTGCCACTGGAAGTGAGCCGCTCAGCATGTGTGACTTTATGGTTCTGAATCTTGGAGAAATAAATTCTTGTCTGCTATGTGGCAAAGAGCACATTGGTATAAACTTTGAACCTCAAAGCTAACCTTATTATGAAATTCTTCAGATTCCCATTCTGTAGGTATGTGTAAATAGTAGAAATTAGCAAGTAGCAGAAAGTACAGAATTTCTTATAAGGCATCTATAAAGTTAGAAAAATAGCCAAGAATAAAAAAAATATGTAGCAAAAAATAAAAGGTTAAGCTACCTTTCTGTGTTCCTTCTATGCTTCACAAAAAAATAAGTAGATTCCGGAGGAGGGAAAATCCAAAATCAAATTAATTGGGTAACTGCGTGCATAATGTTGGTTCGTTCTCTCCTTTATCTGTTTTCAAACTGAATTCCAAGGCATGCATTTTCACCTCTGTGGTTAAACCAGTTCTGTAAATGCAGATACACTTTCTTGTAAGCTCTATTCTCTTCAGATTTGGGGAGCAAGAAGAAAAAGACAAGAATCAGCCTAGATCTATTATTGGTGGAACACATTTATGAAAAAGTAGTATTTGCCCAAGCTGCCATGGGTCAGGATTTCATCAGGCTATTTAAACTTTCACTGAACTTAGTTAACAATTCTTGTAGGTACAATGTTCAATTATGGCTTTGGTTTTCTGCATCTGTTCTTCTTCTTGTAAAGCAAGCATTTGATTATAAGTTATCTATTTAGAAAATTTCTTCTGTGGACATCCATTGTCTAAAATGGGAAGCCAACTCTTTTCTGTGTACATTTCCTATTAAAGACACAGATGATATGTGGAAATACAGCAAATATGCAGTAGTGTCTGCAAGTAGAAGAAAATCCTAAGCAATTGCTTTCCTTTTTTCAAGATGAACCAGCCATGCCTTTACTTTTTATCAAGCAGAAAAAAAAAGCATATGAACAGTAGTTTGTATTAAGTATGAGGCTCTTTTGAAATCTTTTTAATAAAACATAAACTTAGAAGCCTCTAATGAGTTTTTTCCAAACATTTTTCCAAACTAAGTTGAGTATATGGGATCTGGGGCTATGAATTCTCTCTAAAACTTCACTTTTGGTGATTAAAGTTGGTATTACTGTTATTTTTGCTGTAATGTGTGTGATCACTGTCCAGTCTATGTAACATTAACTATAATAATACATTATATGCAAATTTGTATGGGTCTTTTTGTTGTGGCAGCATTGTGGAGGTGATGGTATTACAAGTATTTCAACTTTATTTTTGGTAGCTAAAGTTAAAAAGAAGAGCCTACAGGACTGGCAGTTTGGGGCAGATGTGTGTCTATTCCTCAGGCATCAGTGGTTGTAAGTTAACTATAAAAATGTTACAACCATCTGTGTAACAAGACGGCAGAGATCTGCTCTTGCCTGTTACTATAAATAAGAAGGAGATTTGTTTGACTTCATAGACATTGGATTTATAAAGACTATATGTGTCAAATTGTAACTACGTGCCATGTTGCTGAGATGTGTCTGCAGCCAACTACCTGGGGTGTCTTCCCCTTCAGACATTCTAGTGCAGTGCAGCAACTGTGCAGAAATGTCTGTATAGCACAACATGTGACAAATTGTATTTGTTTTCTACCTATGGGGAAATGTATGATTCTTATGGATAAGCTTATCTGGAAGAGTAGCTAAAATGGATTCTTAAATGGACCACTCAAGGAGTTAAGGAGAAAATACGACATTCAGTTTAACGATGAAGTTTAAAGGTTTTTTCCCCTGATAAAATTTATTTTTTTGTTGTTGCTACTAAGTGATAGGATTTGCGAGGTCATGTATGTGTGAGAGAACACTTATATATAAGAACTG